ACTGCTAACCAGAAGGCTGGCGGTTCAAACCCACCAGCCACTCCTCGAAAGGAAGGTTGGGCAATCTACTTCTGTAGTGATACCGCCTTGGAAACCAAAGAGGGGTTGCTATGAGTTGGGTCCGACTCGACAGCATATAACAACAACAACAAAAACAACAAAAACATATCCTTTAAATAATGCTAGTGAATTACCATTTCCACTCCAACAGCAAAAGCTAAGTAGGAAGCAAGGCAGTTTGGAAAGATCTGTCAGTTTGTAGTTCAGGGGTAAAATTCTTGCCATCTGTGCAGGAGGCCTGGATTCAATTCCCCACCAATGTACCTCAAGAGTAACCACCACCTGTCTGTCATTGGAAGTTAGTCGGTTACTATGATCTGTACATGTTTCAGTAGAGTTCCAGACTAACACAGACTAGAAAGCAAGCCTGGGAAATCTACTGAAAAAAAATCAGCCAATGAACACCCTATATATCATAGTGATGTGACTGGCAAACTGCTCATGGGGATGGCACAAGACAAGGCAGCATTTTGTTCTGTTATGCATGGGTTGACATTGGTTGGTAGCCAACTCCAGGGCAGCTAATAACAATAACAATGGGTGGGCTCAAGCAGCTAGTTACATTATTGTTGAAGTCAATGTTTCTGCTTTGGAAGACTGGATTTCTGGTGTATGTTGCTCAGACATTACAATAATAATAATAATAAGGTTACAGATAGTGCATAATTATTGAAATAGCTACCTAAGCTATCTAGAAACATATGAGAGTAAATAGAAATATTTCTGTTTTACTTAAACAGAAAGAGAGAAAAATACTCACCTTGAACCCAGAAGGGCATTATCATAGAGGTTATGGAGAAAATATTGTTATTACTAAAGAGTTAACAATGCATTATTTGTATCTCATATTGGCAAGGAAATTGTCACAATGGGAGTAACTGCTGAAAGCAGAACTAGAGCTCTGGTCTCCCAAATCCCTAAGATGTGCTTAGCTCTCTGGACCATGAACCTTAGCTGTTCCTCAAAGGACTAAGAAACACCTTGATTTTATGTATCCTTACCGTACACTGTTCCAGACTGTCAATGTGTCAGATTCATTGCCTGAGTTATTTGTGTGACAATTTGCATAACATTAACCATCATGGGCTGAATAACAATTTTATATTTTACTATAGGCTCTTCTGAAACACTCCAGCTGAGCTACTCTGTATGAATTCAGAAAATTTATCAATTACTCAGCCCCACATTTTAGGACAATTACATAGATTTTTTAAAGATGAAAAACAAATAACATGGGTCATTAGAATAGACACAAAAAGAAAGACCTCATTTAGCTGCTTTATTATGCATAATTGCAATTAGTGGCTTTCCAGGAATTTTAGGATATGAGCCAAGTCATGGACTCATTTTTAACTAAGATGAAAGAGAAATTATCAATAAATCTTCAAAACTGTGTATGAAGTGAATTAAGTAATTAAACAAGAATGTTTATCAGATCATGGAACAAAAATGATAGTAAAAATAGAAACAAGCATGAGAATTCTCAATTATTGAATACTTATAATGTATCAGACACTAGAGTAAGGACATAATCACATTTTCTCAAATGATTCTAAAAACAACCATATGAGGCAAGCATTATTTGTATCTAACTTTAACTTGCTCAAAGCTACAAATCTCATTTGTATGTGATGATCCTCCTCTACCTCTGCCACACATATGTATCTAGGATGACTGAGTTCCTCTTTATCTGCCCAGTTATGGTGGCTCTTTCCAAGAAACGCTACATACCTCTGAGGACAGTTCCATCCACAGGGACTTCTCCCACCTGGAACATAAGTGACCTTGCTGTCCAATATTACTGTGGGCGATAGCCTGGTGTGTACATAAGCACACCAATTCCTAAAAGAAAGAGAACTTTGTTAGAAAAGATTATTGTGAAATAGAATTCTTCCTACCAAAATTATTTCCATAGACCTCTATCTACTTCTGAAGGTATCATAGGCTAGATACTGGTAAGCTTGATGTCTAGCTCTAAAATGCCTAGAGGGGAGCCCTGGTAGCACAGTGCCTAAGGCACTTGACTGCTAACCAGAAGGCTGGAGGTTCAAACCCACCAGCCACTCCTCGGAAGGAAGGTTGGGCA